CCAGCGCTACCTGATTTGAGATTCAGTGGAAATCCCAAACTACAGATGATAAACCGACCTTTGAAAAGAAAACTCTTAGAAGCTTGAGGTGACTATTTCGCACTGCCACCGCTTAGTTCATGATTAAAATTATGAAATAACAGGCCAACAAGCGTGTAACTCTTGAAACCAAGCTTTAAGTCGTATGGATCTGCTGATTTGCTTGTCGATGCGTAGGCAACAATTTAAGCTGTGTGCTAGCACTAACTTCGAGCCCGTGTTTCAATATTTGACGAATTGATATAAGGATTGTCGTTCACTCTGAAACATCATTAGTAATGAGCAGGGTATTGTACTACCTTGTGAAATGATTTACGTACACACTGCAGATACTGTTCTGTGTTTATCTGTTTCAGCTTCCCTCTATTCCTCTCCAGGCATCTGTGAGCAGTGAGCATTGACTGGACGTCACGAAACCCTGTTTGACTGAATAACGCGAGTACCGACGTACTCCAGGCGGTTAATCTAAAACTTTTTTGATTCGTATGGCCATGCTGGTTGTTCATCCACTGTTTAAGTGATTAGTGTTAATTTGCATTTGAAGGATATATGTTTTGGTTTTCGTCGCTCATCGATCGTTTCAATTTACTCGCTTTAGACGAGTCAGATATCGAAGAGCCGGTTCCTAGTCGATTGGTAGAAAAAGCGCTGAAAAAGAAATCAACGTCAGCGACGTTACGTGAGCCGCCAGGTAATCTTAATCCAAAATGCTTGTTTAAATGTTTTATCTTACATCTGCGTTTTCCTCTGGACGACTGTAGAAAGTGGAGCAAAGAGGACGAAGGCTCGCACCACCAGATCGCGAACTCCACAAAAGACCGGCACTGCGCGTTCAAATGAATCCCACGTCGTTCGCGAACATGCCGGAAAACCCGAAGTCAAAGAAGAACAGGTACAATCACATGGAATCTTTAATTTTGTGCCGTCTGTTGTGTGAGGTTCATGCATCTTAAGGTTGCGAAGAGTCAGCGAACCCGCAAAGTAGATGCAACATTGCATGTTGCAAAACGTGGCACGCCTGCAAGCACAAAGAAGCTGAACCCAGTGACGGTATCCGCTTATTTTGACGACTCGGCAGCGGCTTCGCCATCGAAAAAAGCCAAGCAGACCCACGCTGATAGACATGATGAGACGTCAAGCACCACCATTCACGACGATAAATTTTCTAAAGTACTTGAACGAGCCGCAAAATACTTGGTAATTTACATTTTGGCACCTCATCGAATCACAAATGATAAAGTACAGTTTTCTTAAGGAGAAACCAGACACCGGCGCTGCTCCAAAAACTGAAGTAACAAAGCGCGGTTCGACAAGAGGGAGCGGAGCAAGCAAGGATACGGCGAAGAAGAAAGCCGGCGACGATGGCGAAGAATCCAGTCCACGTGCTACGTCGAAGAAACCTCACAAGCGGCACTCATCGAATGAAGCGAAGATCAGTCCGCGGACAAAGGCGAAGCCTGAGAAAAGCGACGCAAGTAGCGAATGCACAAATAATTTTCTACGAAACGTTCGTTCCTACGAAATGTTTGTTCTTATTTTAAGCACCTGAAAGGAGGAGAAGGCGTAGCGGCAGTTTCTCTTACGCACAATTTATCCACAGAGAAGGACCGAGAGCTTTAGGGTCAAAACCGATCCCCAAGGCAAGATGCTCTTTTATCGCAGTTTTGTATTCGGCAACGCATCGTTTTGCAGGGAGAGGAAAACTGTCTCAGCGGTTTGACCTTCGTATTCACCGGTG